TGCAGAACTCGCACAAAACACTGCAAAAAGAAGTTTAAAAGGCAATAAAAAACAATAATTAATAAAAAGAAAAACACGGGAGCTCCAGTTCGCATGCATATGAGTGTGTCCGCGATGCGTTCAACGTGACGGATGTGTGGCACAACGCGGAGCACACAGCAGAGCAGCAGAAGCAAACAAAGCAAAAAACGATCATTATAATTACTCTTGCTTTATACATCGGACCACAGCAGACGCACACATGTCCCCGTGGCTTTGAGTGCTGGCACGCACAACCCGCACACACCTCTTCAGCCCACAGTGGTGTACACCAGCGCGGATACTGCAAGCAGCAGCGGGGAAAACACCCACGCAGAGCTGCTGAGGCTGCCGTCAATTCTGCGAATATGTGACGGTGCACGGGTGGTCGTCGTAGTTGGCGCCTCTGTGGTTGTAGTACTGGTGGTGGTGCTGGTGGTGGCTGGCGCAGCGGTCGTAGTGGTCGTGGTCGTAGTTGGCACCTCAACAGACTTCTCTGGTGCCCTTGGCAGGGTAGATTCCTGACTCTGCGACAATTCCTCACCGCTCCTCACATTTCCTGTCTGCAACACCTCTTGAGTCTGTGCGGACTGATTCGGTAAGCCTGGTGACTCTGGATTATCGCTCGCCGGAATTGGTGTCCCTGGCAGAACTGACGCACCTGGTTTCTGTCCACTGATGGCCGCAGCCGCTTTCGTTGGCAAAGAAATTCCTTCACTTCCTAAACCTTCCTCAGCGCTCCTCCCATTTTCCGGTTCCGCACCAGGGCCCTTATCTGGTTCCTGTCCCTTATCGAGACCACCTTGCACTTGTGACTGAGAGGACGATGTAATCAGTTCGGTGGATTTGTGGCCATCACTCGCTGTCATGCACACTGACGGGCAGCAGCACAGGGCAAGCACCAACAGGGCGCACAGCAGACGGCACATCGTCGTCATCGTGAGTGTGGTCGTTCAGTGGTGTGGAGCTGATCTGCACAGTGAGTGACATGGAGAGCAACAGGGAGACGAGAGGTGCGGCAGACACACACAGAGGGCACACCACATGAGGAGAGGGCAGCAGCCAGGCATGCACCGTACGCCGCACACCACGCACGACACACACTCCAATCCACGGCAGCAGGCACACACACACACAGCCCTGCCGCAACACCAACACACAGATGGAAGAGGGAGAAGCAAACAGGAGCGGCACACAAGTCTCCACCGCATGCAAATACGGCGAGAGCGGTCCGTCGTGTCTGCACCCCTCACGGAGGGCACGCACACACACAAGAGGAGGTGCAGCGCACACAGCAACACGAAAGCAAAGTAACAATAAAAAGAAGATCCCCGCACACCACGTGAATTGTTGGTCCACGGGAAGTGCAGCCAATATTCATCACAAAAACAGTTCGGTTGCCTTTGGCCTTCGTCCACATTCGGCGCACGCCACTTCATGCAGTCCGGCCACCGTAGCAGCAGCAGCCGCACACGCAAAAAAAATATGGGCGCAAGGAATGGAATGAAGCAAGCAACCATTTATTTGTGTTTCTGTTCGGATGTTGGCAGATGTGTGCACATGTTTTGTTCGTTCTGTTCTTTTTTTTTGCTTTGCGGAGGGCAAACTTAATGCCTGGGTCGTGTGTTGGGGATTACTGCAGGGTGCACAATTATTATTTGTTTTCTTTCCTCTTGTGAATTTTGCTTGTGTTGGTGCAGCCAATAGTTCGGTTTGTGTTGTTCCTGCCTTTTGCTGGTAAAGTGTTGCAATAGATGTTTGTTTCCCTCTTTTCGTTGCTGTGGCACCTGATTCCTCACCGTTTATTGCGGTGGAGATGAAAATATGTGAGTGGACTCCCACACATCAGAACGCACCTTCGCTCCTATTTATTGCTGCATGAAAGGGCATGTGTGTTTGGTGGTGTCTCGTCCATATATTTTGTGGGTGTACATCCCCTGCAGGCTGAGGGCGGGATGACGCTCCGTCGCGGTGCACTTCCCTCGCATGCCGCCCACTGTGATTCATCATGCATCACCCTCTTTCACATATTCCGTGGTGCCACACCGCTGATATTACTGCAGCCGCTGTGATTCCGCGTACTTCACGCATTTGACTGTGCCACAATACATCCGCTCGTGTGGCCGCCGCATCCAAACAGCGGTGCCCAACACCGTGAGCGGCAGTCCACATCCTTGCATGTCCCAACGCAGTGGTGTTCGACTGTCAGCCAGGCGTCAGACAACAGGAGAGTCTTGTGCTGGCAGTACAACACACGGAGCTGCAGTGAAGGGCTCGGGCGGGGACGCATCTATTTGTCGCAAAGCAGTGAAAAGGAGTCGGGCAAAATAATGCCGGCTGCATTCACGACACCATATCCACAGCCAAAGCATGCGACGTGATGTGTGTTTCACTGGTGCTGTGGAATGCCTGCAGACGACGTCACTAGTGGAGGCATGCCACCCATGATCAGCGGACAGACAATAATCGGCATGGGAGGCCACAAAAGGCAGCAACGACGCCAGCAGCAGGAGCAGCTCTCTCTCTCTCTCTCTGTTGCCTCCGAGAAGTAAATATTCCACCAGCCACAGCCGACTGTGCCATCGTGACACTCCATGCACGTCGTGGCTGCGTCAACACATCCTGTTCCCTGCAGCGCCTCAAAAGATGCCTCACTCCGTCCACTAAGTGCATCGGTGTGGGCCGTGCCTGGGCTGTTCGTGAGGACCACAGCGATGTAAGGGTCACCGAGTCGCAGCACGTTTGTTGTGACGTTGTTGCATGGCACCTGCACACACACGCAGCGTCTGCATCCCTCCCTTTTCTGTCCGCCCTTTGCCGGAGTGGCCACACACACGGGCAGCAGCAAAATCACTTCACCCTCGACGATCCAAAATCAACACCGACATCCCTCGCGACGCAAACATCTCAGTTGCCGACACGGGCCTCCTGCCGCTCTGCCATCGATGCTGAAACACGGCACAGTGCACGCACTTATTTTCCTCGTGTGCAGTCAGCCGTTTGTTTCACACATTCTTCGACGGGCTGACGTCCACAAAAGCACGCCACAAAAGGCCACTGTGATCGCACACGCTCTTGCGATGGGCGTCGGTGTGTGCATGGATCCGCTGCTCACACGTGCTGGCAGGCAGCCTGCAGCCGGTGCCCTCGTGCCAGTCCATCGGCTCCAGCACGGAAAAGAGAAAGTGGCCCATTCCCGATGCACTTATTCCCACCGGCAGCACCAACACGCTGGCCGCTAGCCGTCATTCCTCAGCACATCCAGGAATGCCGAAAAGTGACGTGGAACTGTCAGCCAGCAATGCCACAATCCCCGCACACATGTCGGCTCCACCAAAGAAGACACACAAACTACAAACAACACCCTCCACATGTCAGCCGAACATCATTCCGACACACCGCGACACGCCAAACAGAAGTATTCGCCACTCCAATGCACCTCCCCACACAATCAAATAGTCCACGCACCACGCACGGCAGCAGCTCACACGCGGTCAAACAAATGTTCTTCGGATCAGTGTTATCCACATGCTGCAGTGGGAAGTAAACAAAAGAGACGAGCGGCCAAACCCCAAAAGACTGCCACGACTGGCCGCAATTCAACGGAGCGC